CGTCCCAGCACGACCGTCGCACATTGATGCCTATCCTGCATTCAACAAATCTACACATAAGAGAGAGAGGCCACTCACCTGCTCCAACTGTAGCAACGTCCTCCAACTCGTCTCTGTCTGCCGCGGAGTGGATATCTTCTGTGCTACACACTAGAGCGACGTCCATAGGGAGAGTTGCCTTGTGCAGTGGTGGGCGGGTGGGTAGGACACAGTCTGACCCCCTCGACTTAGATTAGCTATTATAGCTGTCCCTAAATGCTGTGAGCGTCAGCTATGTGATTCAACCCCGTGCGCTCAGAAGGCCTTCCTATCTAACCTTATCGTAATGAACCTAATAGCACATGACAGAAAGTGCATCCGAGCATGCACAGCGTGCTGTGCAAGTAAGACCAGCTCGTACGCCACAGTCCCGCCGTCATTACGCATTATCTGAACCATAGAGAACTCAAGTACGAGGGGAAGAGATCTATCCAGCTCGCGGTAGACTGCGACTCACGATGGTACGTACGTAGCACATCCCTCAGCACGCATCCTGCTGTATGTATGCGTCTATCCTCATACGTATCAAACACGGCCTGGCGCCGGCTGTTCCACCTCGGGCGCGAACGTATGCATCGTCCAGCGCGAATCCTGCCAGCACTTCACTGAATCAAACTACAGCTTGAAGGGGCGATTATGGCATCTGTATGTGACGTATGGGCACAGGAGCATGGAATACATACCTCTCCGCGTAAACGCCTCGCAATCCTGCGGAGAAACATGGAAATATAACCATATCTTCTCCTACCAGAATCATGAAATTCTAGACGGATGTCTCACTTTGCACGAAAAAGCGGGACAATAACCGTCCTGTGATACTCGAGCTTTGGACACCTACACGTGCTTGCCACTTCCAAACAATGAAGCAAGTACATATCTTCTCTACGGTGAGCTGACTGCTGGGCGTTGCAAACACACGGAAGCTTGGCGTGAGGTTGTTCAGCGCTCCCGACCGCCTGGTACATCTGATCAAGTAGTCATTGAATGTGGCGAACAGCAGATCTGTTATTCTGTGAACACCGGAGAGGACTGTAAACGTATCATTCAAGGTCAATACCTTCAAGCAGGGTTCACTTCAATGCTCAGTGGGCCGCACTCTCCCACCATGTCATCTACTGTAGCATTGACTTGCGGATTGCTGCCATTACCAGACGCGCGAAACAATATCTGCACAAATGGCACTTGTCGCAGACGGGTCGACGCGGCGCAGGACTCCACCGGTTCTAACAGCACGGCCGCATGGAAATTTTCGATAGCGAGGCCATGTGCGCTGAGCCCACACCGAGGCTGCGCTTGAAATAGACACTAGCAATGGAAGCCCTGTCCATCCCCGCAACACATGCCACGACAGCGTTTTATATATCATGAGGTGACGATCAGGATGGTCTCCGGGTGGGGGATGGGGTGCTGCCGGACAGGATGTAGAGGGTGAAGCTAGCTTCAGGGCCGGGCGGCGCTGGAGGTAGAGTGAGCATGGGTGAGGAAGGAATACATCTCCTCGTCACGTCGGTATTAGTCCGCAATTGGAAAAGGGGAGCGAGGAGAGAGGTCAAGCGAGTGCCTCGAGCTCAGTGGAGAAGAGTCTCGCTCGTGGTGGCGACGTCAATTTTGATGAGCGCTAGGAGCAGCGAGACAAAGATCCGCTTCTGCAGTTGCTAAAGAATTCAAAGCAGATGTTAAGATCAGCATGACTGTCGAAGAAGTCACGCTGGATGTGGGCTGGGGCGGGTGAAGACGACATTGTTTTGTGGGGGCTCCGCAGGTGAGAGGTGCGTGTCGCGCCAGAAAAAGCAGAAGCAGCGAGGAAGAAAAGATAAGTTCATAGTATGAAGGGAGAGAGTTGATAAAAGTAGGACGGGTCCGCATGATCCCAAGCGTCAGGGAGGAAGATGAGAGGCACATCCTTCGACCGGAGACAGGCACTATAATACAAACACGTCCGCGGAAGATAAGAATTACATAGCTTGAGATGAAGAAAGTATCCAATGTCTGCACACAGCTAATAGCTTTATGTAGTTCAGCCACGATGTGTTGGCTTATGATCTGTAGATAATGGGTACGATGCCTTTGGGTAAATTTTAGAGACCAGGAATCTCGAACCGCTCCTGGGGACAAAACAGACATAGGAATGGCACCGAGAAGATCATATCGATAGAGAACGAGACAGGAGTTATGGGAAATGTGGCGGTGATGGGACGGGTGCGCGAGCATAGTTTGCAGGGCGAAGCAGTCTTCGATGTATCGGAATTGAATCGTTGAGTCCAGGTTCCTTGACATCGAGGATTACAGAATACCTAGTATCAATGTAAGCGTTAGTGCGGAGTCGAAGATTTGAAATGTAAACGTAATTGACAACGAGCATGGCAACTTACAGAAGGCGACCACTGGCATAGAGTGCTGGAAGTCTTGATGAGAGCAGTGTGCGCCATGATTCTTCGGATATAACGTCCATCGCTTCGCTGGAAAAAAAAACAGTACAACCAAGGGAAAAAATGATTTTCTGGAGAACGGGGAATTGGTTGCCGGAGAGGATGCGGACCATGTCTGCATAGGAGTCATTTTCGATGGTATTCAATCTATCCTAGATGGAGACAAGTGTTGCCCGTTTGAAGAATGAGAGATCTGGCCGCAACTCGGTGATCTCAACTAGGTTGAAAAGAGATCCGCACGACAGGGAAATGGCTGCTTTAGCGATGCTTTCGAGGTCACCGGCCAACGACAGGACACGCAAGTTGACAGCGGGTGAAAGATCGAGTGAGGCTGAGGGGACACCGTGAACAGATATGCGATGACGTCGCCTCCGCCACGCACCTTTGTAAAGCAGCTTGACATCGAGGGACAAGAGCGACTCGGCGGACACCGCGAGCAGCTCCGGATGCTTCTCCAGTTCCCGTCCATAGCAGGTGAGATGGCGAATGTGCGTGCCGATCGACACGAAAAAGTCAAATACATCATCGCTGTAACTCAGATCGGCGACGTTGACTCGGAGTGGGAGAGCTGAGCATGGCACTCGCATCGCGCCTGCAATACTTCAGTTCTTCCGGAAGTTCATACGCCAGCACTTGAGGGAGGAGAGGCGGGCCAGCGCGCGCACAAGCCGCCCAAATACAACCGCAGATGGGAAGGCCACACCGTTCAGATCGAGCTTGGTCACCAATCCAGATGTGAGGGTGACATGGAGAAAGGTGTCCGGTTGCAGTTGCTCAGTCTCCCATTTGCAAAACCAGAGTTGTAGCAGTTCGACTCGAGGCAGCTTCTGCACTATGCGCACAGCAAACGACCCAAAGTTGCCAATTGGCTGCTCTAAACCCAACAAGACTGTCCTGATGGCACGGAATCGCTCGGTGTGTTTCCCCAGCACCTTGATAAGGCGATACACCTGCTTCTTGTCCATTCGTTTCATCCCAAGGATCCCATGACTATGAAAGCAACATCTAGCATACCACCCACGACACACTTGGTCATGTTCTCGCATGTAGTAGCTGCCCTTGTCGTCATCCGCAATGAGATCGATGATGCGCCCCTATAACTCCGTTGGAAGTTGGCTCGAGACTATGGGGCAAATGTCTGATAGTTGGCTAAACGTCTGCTCGGCGATGGAAGCGTCCCAGCCCAACCTGCGCACATTCCGCTCTGTACTACATTCAACAAGCGAACATGCAGCAGAGTGGAATTACGCACTGAGTCGAACTGCAGTAACATCCCCCTCCTTTTCCCGGTCTGCCACTGAATGGGCATCGCGTAAGCTACCCGCTAAAGTGACGTCCATAGGTGAATTTGCCATGGTCTGGAGCGTAGGTGAGCAAGATGTACAACCCTACTCTCTCGACCTGGATTAGCTATGATAGGCTATGGTGCTCACAGCCCCCACAGCCATCTGGTTTGACACCGCGTTCTGGTAAGACCTGTTTGTCGAACTTTATTGTACTGAACTGAATTGCGCATGACCTTTACATGTACGCACAGGGCCAGACGCGCCGTAGGTGGGAACAAAGCTGCCGTGTCACAACCCTAGGATGAGAGACGTCCCTCGCCATGGAGCACAACGGCGGACTGCAAGCAACGACTGTACGTACGCAGCATGTATCCGGCTGCACTCGTCAGTTCCTATACGCCTCAAGGATTACCTGACCGCGGTTGGTCCTCCAGGACCACGCTGAGGGTGTCTGTGTGTGATGTGCTAGCACAGAGGCATGACACACCTCGCCGTGACAATATCTTGCGAAGCTGGAGAATAGATGGAAGTACGCGCTCATCGTCCCGCACCAGACTCATTGCTTAGGTAGACAGTATTTCCTCGCTAGGTTCTTCCCGACTCTCCCATCATGCCGATAGCGTTCAGCGAGCCACAACCACCTCACGCCGTATACAATGTGAAGACGGCATGGTGAGTCGACGTTTGAGGTAAGGAAGCAGGGTGGACACTACGTTCACCTATTGCAGACTTGCTGTGTGCTGTGCCGCTACACTAGACAGGATCTTTTGTGATGTTCATACGGTGTACATCTAAAAATGTTGGTTAGCGTCAGAAGAGACCGTCGACTGGATATTCGAGAAACGTAAAAGAAGAAAGTACGTGGTCTCTCCGTGGGGCACTGACTGCTGGGCATCTCATAAACACAGAAACCTCACTCGCTTCTTGTTCGGTGCTCCTGCACATCCGATACAAGCAAACGACCTGCGATGTGTGCACCTATCAGAGAGGATCGTAAGTATAAACAGTGTATGGTTTAGGATCAATAACATGACATTCATGAGAAGCTCGACATTAATCTTGAGCGAGACATATTCTCCTAGCATGTCCACTGCAAGATTGACCGAAAGATTGCCGCGGTAAACATAAACGAGTGCTTACCTCATTGTAGAAGAGTCTTACCATCGCCGATTGTATCTATTGCTTTTCCCCTCGAGTATTTCAAGACATGATATCGGAACGCGCAAAAGAAAACTCAGCCGTGAGGCTGGGAAAGCGCCTGTATTATAATCCCAAGTCTTAGGAGGATGATAGTCGGCTGTATCTCAACCTCGCGATAAAGACCGCGTTTGACAACTTGCGTATGTTTGCGTCGAGGATAGGGGCCTGCATGTTACTGTGACATCGCTATCCGCAAAAAAGAGAGGCTGAGCGTATAAAGGCGAAAAACCTGTGCCAACTGTGCAGCCTTGGGACCTTAAGTGCGGGATTTGCCGACAGTGGCGGTTGTTGCCCAATCGGGAATCCGATCCGCAGTCACGGGGCCAACGGCCCGAGGGCGGGAAATGACCGCGCCCGCCGGTGCGGTGCCCACCGGGCCCTTGCAAGGTGCCAGGTACGCGCTGAGGGGTGTGCAGTACGTACGTGTCACTAATGTTGACAGTCTACTGTACCGTTAGCTGCATGGCCAAGGACGTCTCCTAATCATCCTCTATTGTTGAGGCAATGCTCAGCGGCAGCTTCGGATTTGTGGCGCACGGCTCGGGTCTCATTCCTATGCACGCACGAATGCACTTTCTGTCATGTTATCAGGCACTTTTCACTGCACAAGTTTGAAGGATGTAACGCTCACAGCTTATAGGAACAACTACAAAATAGGTAATCCAGACCGAGCGGGGAGTATTTATTGTATACCTACTTTTCGCACATGGCAACTCTACCGATGGACGACACTCTAGCGTTTAGCCTACAAGATGCGCGCTTTGTGGCGGATAGGGAAGAAGAGGAGGATTTTAATACAATTCGGACTGGTGAGTAGTTGCCCTTTTCAGCTTACTGTGTGTTGGTTCGTTGAATGCAGCATAGACATGAGCGTACGACAGTCGTGCTGAGATGCTTCTGTCGCTGAGTGGACGTTTGCGCAACTATTCGGTATATGCCCCGTGGTTTCGAGCCGACTCCCGACGGAAATATGGGAGCAGATCATTGATATTATCGCAGACGAAGATAGCCACGACGACAGCTACATGCGGAAACTGGGCCAAGTGTGTCGTGGGTGGGACATCCGATGTCGTTTTCATCGCCATGAGAGAATTTATATGTGGGACATGGACAAGAAGCAGGTGTATCGCCTGATCAGCAAACTGGGCAAGCACCCTGAACAATGCCGTTCTATCAAGACAATCTCATTCAACTTCGTCGAAAAGTCGGTAGACATCCTCGGGTCATTTGCTGTGCGCATGGTGCAAAAGCTACCCCGAGTCGAGTTGCTCAAACTCAGGCGGTGCGATTGGGTGGCTGGGCAACTGCACGCGCAAGTCTTCCTCCATATCATTCTCACATTTGGGTCGGTCACTCAGCTCGATCTCGTCAATGTGATCTTCCCGTCTGCGATTGTATTTGGGCGGCTTGTGCGCGCGCTGCCCCGCCTCTCCTCCCTCACATGCAGGTTTGTGCAGTTCAAGAAGGGCTGCAATGCTTCTAGCGCTGTGCGAGCGCGGGGACCCCTCCAACTCAATGCTGCCGATCTGTATTTGAGCGATGATGTTATAGACTTTCTCATCTCAATCAGCGCGCACATTCGTCATCTCACCTGCTATGAAGAAGATCTGGAGAAGTTACTTTCTTTGGCCACCGAGTCGCTCTTGTCCCTGAAGGTGAGCGTTAGCGCTCAGTATAGCGGTGTCCTCGATGGTACGTGGTGAACATGGCTGATGCCACCGAGTGTTACGAGTGCGATATCGGTTGACAATGACTTTTCTCAGCCTCGTCGATCAATCTCAGCCCGGCTGTCAACTTGCGCATCCTATCGCTCCATGGTAGACTTGACTCCGTAGCAAGGGCAGCAAGTTTTCTGTCTCGCGCGTCTTTATCGAAGCTAGTCGAGATCACCGTTCTTCTAGCGTTTCATCTTAATGAGCCGACAATTGCCAGCATCCAGACTGAATTTGGTGCAGTCAATAGTGACTACTTGCACAGACAGACCGCAGCCTCTCCGGCAAGCAGTTTCCCGCCCTCCGGAAGGTCACATTCCACCTTCGTTATGATGTCCAGTCTTCCAGTCAGGCGATGAACGTCATATCCGAAGACTCCTGGCGCACGCTGCTCTCGTCAAGGCTTCCAGCACTGTGTGCGAGTGGTCGCCTTCTGTGAGTTATTATGCTCATCATCGATTGCTTTTTACATCTCGGGTTTATATCAAGATCACTTACCTTATCCTAGGTCTCCTGTGATCATCAATCTCATGGGCCCTAGGCTTTAGTTCAATACAAAATCTGTCCCAACTCTGCAACCTATGCCTGTGCACTTATCGCGTCCCCCGCCACATGGCTACAAGTCCGGGCTTGTAATCTGTTGGTGCACCCTTCACGCTGCCATTCCCTCACCTATATGTGATTCAAGGTTGGTTCAAGCTTCACAATTTGCAATATTCATCCGGATGCGTCGCGTCTGCAGCGGCCGGGATCTCCATTGTACAGATGAGCTTTATGTACACGTCCGTGGTCGCGCCGGACAAGCCTTGTGTTCATACTCCACTGCAACGCCCCACTCGAGTTGCGTATGCTTTCCATCGCGTCTCATCCTCTTCCTGAAGTTCTTTTATCGCTATCTGTGCCTTCCTGGCTCTCGCTTTGCATACACGCATTTATGTCTTTATCTGTCTTGCCGCTTCCTCTGCCCTGACTGCCACCCCACATCCCCTTCACTCACAGAGTACCCTGCCACGAGGTTGTCCACCCTGGACTCCTCGACATCGTGTTTGGCCAGCTTGGCGTCTGCGTTGCCTCTAGCATCTCTCCTTCCTCCCATAGTTCATCGAGGTCACCGTCGGCGTTGCCATTGTCAGTGTGACTGCTGTCTTCGCCGAATTCAAGGTACTCGCATGTCTTGTCATCCCCTCGTAGTCTATCCCTATCGCACTCGCTGCCAGCTCTGTGTATCTGAACCAACAATCCCACCTACCAGGAAACCTGCTTGCCCCTCACTCCTTCGTAGCCCTCCAAGTGTCTCGTGCACATGGCTGACGCTGTTGCTACGTATGAGAGGGCACCCCTAGCGGTGTCCGTGTCGGGCGTGGCCTTTCGAGTATAGGCCATTCTGCTGCCTATGTTGCCCTGGATGGTGTCTACATTGCGCATACTCTTCTCACTCTCGTCCTTGAGACGACGCTTAGCAGCAGCGAGATTGTGACGCACGAGCTGGGTTTCACTTACGCCGCGTCTACTACTAGTCTTATGCTGCACGGATGCGCTATCTGGCATGTGCAATCAGATACAATATGATAAAGTTGTATGAGAAGGTCTGAGCATGGTACTGAGCCGAGTAGCTGTGAGGGCTGTGCCGCTCACAGCTTTTTCTTCCAGTTCGACTCGATCTATTGTCCGCGATCAGATCGCAGCTTATAGGGACAGCTGTAACAGCTAATTCAGTTTGAGGGAAGTTATGCGTCTACCCTATCCACTAGTACTTTCTGCACACGTCGCTTCTACCTACGGACATCGCTAGAGCGGGTAACCTGCAAGATACTCCTTCTGTGACAGATAGGGAAGAAGGGGATGTTACTACAGCTCGAGCTGGTGAGTAGTCGCCCTCTGCTGCGTGTAGTTTTTTGAATATAGCACAGACGTAAACGTACGGCGGTTCCGCTGGGATGCTTCCATCGCTGAGCGGACGTTCAGCCAACTATTCGATATCTGCCCCTTGGTTTCAAGCCGACTTCCGACAGAATTATGGGATCAGATAATTTACTTCATCGCGGACGACGACGACTTCAACTGCAACCGCCGCTACAACCTGCGACAACTCGGTCAAGTGTGTCGTAAGTGGTATGGCCGGTGTCGCCTTTGAAGTTATGAGAGACTTGCTGTGTTCCAATGGACAAGAAGCAGGTGTATCGCTTGGCTAGCACGCTAGATGCACACCCCAGCCGATGCGCTGCGATCAAGATAGTCTCGTTCAACTTTTCTGAAAGTCAGTCGGTCGATCTCCTTGGGACATTTGCTGTGCGCATGGTGCAGAAGCTACCCCGAGTCGAACTGCTCCAGCTCCGGCATTGTAGATGGCTGACTGAGCAACTGCATGCGCAGGTGTTTCTCCATATAACCCTCGTATTTGGGTCAGTTACTATGCTCGAGCTCTTGAAAACAACATTCCCCTCTGCGGTTGTGTTTGGACGGCTCCTCCGCGAGCTCACCCGCCTCTCTTCCCTCAAATGCAGAAATGTGCTGTTGAGAAAGCGCTGCAAAGCTCTAGGTGCGGTGCGAGTGCCAGGCTCTCTCCGACTAGACGGCGCCGATCTGGATGGCAGCAACGATGTTATGGACTTCCTCGTGTCGACCGGCGTGCGCTTTTGTCATCTCTCCTGCTTTGGATAGCGACCTGAAGAAGAGGTCGGAGCTACTCCCTGTGGCCACCGAGTCGCTCTTGTCTTTGGAGATCAGGCTACTGCCTTCTAGAGCTGGTTTCAGTTGCGGTCATGGTAAGTAGCAAAGACGGTCTGTTTGGAGTGTAAAATAAGTTGACGATCTTCTCATCGACTTCTCAATTGATTTCAAATTCGTTTACTATTTACGTGTCCTGTCGCTCGACGGCAACCTTGAGTCCTCCACGGCTAAGGCAGCAAGTGTCCTGTCTTGCGCATCCCTGTCCCGGCTAGTCGAGGTCACAATTGGTTCAGCGTGTTAATTTGCTAAGACGACACTTGTCAACGTCCAAAAGACATTGGCTGCAATCTACAATGAACACTTAGCACAGTTGGACCACAGTCTCTGCGGTCCGCAATTTCCTGCCCTTCAAAAAGTCTCCTTCCTCCTTCGATGTCATGTCCACGTTGCCGATGATGTGGTGGACGTCATATCCGAAGACTCGTGGCGCACACAGCTCTCGTCAAGACTTCCGACACTGTACGCCAGTGATCGCCTCCTGTAAGTGGCCACATTCATTGTCGATTGCATTCATATCTCATCTAGACATACCTAGGTCTCCTGTAACCCTCAATGTCGCCTATCGCGGTCTTTCAGTTCGTCGTCCTCCCTATCATTTAGATGATGCCCAACGATTGCGGGATTGTGACGCACGGCTCCTGTCGCTATCAAAACTCTGTCGATGGCACAGCCCGGCCCTGCAACCGACTTCGCTACCTACACTCTACTAGAAGCACCCCCACCGAATGTGTCTATCGCCCATGCTCTCGTCACCCGACGCAAACCGCAAGCCACCCCCAGCGTCACTTCCAAAAGTCTCGTGAAATGGTGGACGCTATTGCTGCGCGTGTTGCGAGAATGGGCACGGCTTTCCTTGCTGGTGCCCGTGTCGGGCGCGATCTCCTCGGTGTGGGCTCAGCGTAAAGCTGCCGGGCCATCTGTGCCTCGCTCGTCAGGTCTAACGCACGGTTTAGCAGGCTTGTATTAGAGTACAATACATGTCAGAGTAGTGCTCTGATATATAGACAGAAAAGACAAACCAAATAAATCCAATTTCAATAATGATACATTGTTGAAGTATTAATTCATTTCTGCACAGTTCACATCTTTGAGGCTGACTTGAACTTGTCACTCATTGGCTTTCGACACTTATGAACATATATTGAGATTGTATTAAACACTGTAATCTATTGTGTAGTGCAACTGAGGACTTGGAAAAATAATCCATTCATACTAAGCAGTGAAGATAAAAGTCTTGGTACAACAGGATACTAACAAGCAAATTGTAAGTTCAAGCTGTAGGTATGAGTGATAAATGTACTATAGTTCAACACCAGAATCTACTCTGTGAAATTCCTGCCTTACATTCAATACTGCTAACATAGAGTTGATAAGCACTGGAATATAAATCTGCTCAGAACATATAGCCAATTAGGCAAGAATTAACTTACATTTAGGGGTTATAAGGTATAAGGATAGATATATTGGACTAAGAAATACTATATGTGAATTTATAAGTGTTGTCTCAAACTATTGCAAGGCTGTAGCACCTACACTTATCAAGCAGGCAATCCCACTGGAGCTAGTGGGCATAATATCTCAACTTGAATTCACAGCTAAACAATGTTACATACCTGACAAAAATACCAGTATTAGTTGTGTATAAAATCAGGACATGTATTATTCTATCTGTTCTAGAATTTTTGTTTGTCAGGATAAAGTGCAGAATATTATGAAGTAAATTTCTAACCTAGAAATGCTTGTTTTATAAGTTTTAAGCAGCAGACAAAGTACAACTCTATTTGATAAATCTGCAATCACTGCAGAAGCCAGCCTTGCTGGTATGATACCTATAGTCTGATAAAATGTATATTTCATTAAAAAGACTAAAGTCAGAAAATCACTCACTGCATTATCTACTTGAGCTGCAGTTTTATCATTGTTAAATTTGTAATTAACAATTGGATACCTATATAAATGTTTATGAAACATGAAACAATATACTTATAAGTATTCACCATTTTATACAAAGAGCTAAAACATTAGAATAAGTAAATCATATCACAGTGCCAATAATTAGATATACTACCTATATTAAATCCTTTAAAATATGATTGGAACACTAAGGTGAGACAGTTTTGTTTTTCTATGATAAATTAAGCACATACCCATTGCAATCAGTGAACTCAATACCTATACCTTTTAATTAGACATCAATACTGCAAGATAAATCAAACATACATTTATGACTATCAATGTGTATTTATGCATCTGCACTATAAACCAGTTGGTCAAATAATCATATACCAAAACAAATCTCACATTTCCATATTCGATAGATAAACACCCCAAAAATCAAATTGAGAATCAGAGTCATGAGGAGATATTGAGATATAACATACATTCTCACAAAAAGATCACTTAGACCCTATTTTTTTTATTAGCATAAAGGGTATTTGAAATAAAGACCACCATAACTTACTGCAAGAATAACAAAAATTTTGATTGGAAAATTAGCTAAATTTATGTAGTTATAGTTTTATGCCTGCCTGCAATATACTATATAATAGTGAGATATCTGATTATGTACCACTACAGGTGTATAATGCACATATTGTTCAAGATTAAGAATATGATGACCAATAAGCATCTCAAATAATGCACCAGCTACTACACCAGCTTGTGCAAGATCTAAAAGCCTAAAAACATATCAGATTATAAAGATTATGTTGTCAAGGTATATTATACCATGAACTAAGTATCTTAAGAATTTATATTCAGACAAACATGAAAATAATGTAAAATCAACATACTATAGTCTTTATTATGTTTGGATCATTTTTATAGTGAGTAAAATAGATAGCAACTTGAGCATTGGATATGCCACAGAGACTAAAATAGATGAGCCACTACTTGTCACATATTCAGCAAAATATTCTCACAATATAGACAGTGTGGCTCCTGAAGAGTTTATATTGTCAGGACTACTATCAATATAGAACTATTTATGTAAATACCAATGAAAAAAGGTGCAGCTACAGCATCAACATATTCTTTCAATGTTGCCATTTAGTGAGATGAGTTACTGGATACCACAATGTGAGATGAGGACAAGTGATAAGGCAAGAAGGTCAAAATCTCAAAGAATCCCTGCAATGCTTGGACCTAAATATCATATCCCACTGATCCATATCATATCATCAGTCACAATGGCAGATGGCATCCACCAAATTATTATACTTATAGTTGATTGATCAGGACATGTGATGTTACAGCCCTGTAGGGGGGGGGGTTTTCTTTTCTTTCCTAACTATTTGTCGTTGACCCTGT